ATCCAGAAGCTCTTTTACGGACTTGTGGGATTGAATATTAACTATCAGTGATATGGTCTTCCCTAAACTAGGAACTCTTTCAGTATATGTACCCACATTAGATTGCCGCGTCACATCATTTGACCGAGAGGAATTCATAAGATCTTCTGGCGGCGAGAGAAACCAAATCAGAGCATTTGGAGGACTGGAACAATACCTGGATTGGAGAATGGAGCATAAACATTCTTGGATAAGAGTACTTCTCTCTGCAATGACATTTGGAGATGTGTTACCAAAGAATTTTCTGGATTCTTTGTTAACAGAAAACCACACAGGTGGAAGATTCCATTTTCGAGCAGCAAATAATGTTTTTAACTGAATATAAAGTGCATAAAAGTCGCGATATCGACGCTCAACCTTCCATTGATCCTTGCCACTCCAAACCTGTATTGTGTATACAGTGTATTCCTTCACCCCAACCAGTCTTTCACTAAGTGGAATATCTCCCTTTATCTGCTTGGCACCCACTACCTCAATCCCATCAATCCTAAGTGGATGACGAAAAATAGGGTTGCCATCATCAAAACCAGAAGCACGAGCAATGGATTCACCATCTCTTAAAGTTGACAAGTGCTCAGATTGGAACTCAATATTCCCCTGCTTCAACCTCCCCACAGGAGATTCACGTGTTTCTAACAAAATCTCTTCCATTTCATGTACAAAATCATCATAAAATGCATTCATCTCCAAATCCTTTCCCTACAAAACAATATCAATTAAAGTCTAAATTTCAGTAGTCCAATAGAGGCGAGGCAGAAATGCTCTTTTATGTAAGATAATATGACAAATATAAATGTTACTTAAGCTTATATCATTGGATGAAACACACCGATCATTAGATGAATGGAAACATAAGAGAGAGATTAATGAGCTAAGAATCAGATTACCTCTGAGACCAACGAATCCCCATCCCAAACAAACAAACAAAAAGAGAGAGGGAGAAAGGACTGAAAAACTAGCTATGAGCCATTCATTAACTTGAAATGTTTCTATGACTTCATAGCTTATTTACATCCATCAGAAATGTTACTATGCCAGTTCCCCAGTCATATCGTCCATTCGTCCCATACGTCATTCATTAACTTAAATAATATCAATTATTCAAATTAAGCAGAGCCAATCATAGTATACATATGAACCAGCAATTGAATTTCAAACTTTGTAACAGTAGGACTGTTCTGTTTGTTAGCAGTTTTGCAACTTGAGGTTGGCATTTGACATATGCATCAATTGGAAAAAATTGCTGACTTGTGTCAACATTCCTAGGGCAGCGATGATAACTAAAAGATGATTGGAAAACAACGATGTGTTGCAAATGTTGCGCTATGTGTTGCAAATGTTGTGCTAGCAGGAATTCCCATGCAAACCTAACATATACATTAACAAAATAGCAACACATCATGTTTTTACTACGGTAGTGTCGGAAATCTTTGAGGAAAGAAAATTCAAAGAACAGAAAGCAAACATATTGTGTATTTTCTAAGAAATAAATCGCTGAAACCTAAAAGTACAGTCAGGTTTTATACAAAAAATTCTGAAACATTCTGACTTGGTGAAGTCTATACCCTTGCTCATGAAAGTAATGCACCATAAGATATTATCAAAGAACTAATTCTATTAAACCACTGACAGCAATGCAATCAGAGTAACTGACATACTCAGCATCAACCAAATAAACAACGATGTCAAGCCAAAGCAAACTAAGCTAAAAGAAGCTGTATCTCTTCCAAAATTGACATACCTTGCTGTTTGTGGTCTGACCTCCACTTAGATTTAAGTCACCATGAGCCCTCCCCTCTTCACTCTCAAGCCACGTCAAGGCTGATTTTGACACACATCCCTCAGAAGATTCCACTTGAGCACCTTGAAGTACATCCAACCTATACTCTCCATGAACATAAGCTTCACCTGCACCATCATCAGGCAGAGGAACCAAGAATTGTTGTGGAACCGGGTGGTCATCATGGCCACTTTTTGTATCACAAGTAATATCCACGATCTTCCTTTCTTTCTCATCTCTCATGGATTCAGTATCTGCCACAGCATGCAACGGAGCACATGGCTTTTGAAATACATTGTACACAGAACAATTATCAAGATACTCATCCAGTTCATCATTACTGGTAATCTGTTTGCACCTTGAAATGTCCCCGGAGCCCTCTGTAGCCCCTGCTTCCATAATTTTTGAGGAATGAGTATTCGTGGTTGTACAACTAAGAGAACACTCTGATGATCTATCAACTTCCAGGACATCATCGCGGTCCGTAGCAACATCCCTTGCATTCCTTTCTTCGTCATGCCAATGAAAATTTTCATTAGATATTGACCTAATCAAAGTCAAATCTTCAGAAGTAGTTTCTTTTTCACTTGATTGCTGCCGCAACCAAAAACTATCAGAAAGTTGTGTTGTATTTTCCAGTCCATCTAACTCATAGTCATCCCAATCATTAGATCCAAAAGCCACAGACGAGTTCATAAGCACCGAATTCCCACATCCTGCATCAACATCACCACAATCCACTACATTTCTCACATAATATGCATTATGCTGAGATCCTTCATCCGAACCATAGTTAAACATAGAATCCTCACCCTCAGAGTGATCATACCTAGAAGACGACTCATCCTGTTCTCTGCATCTCTCATCCTCCATTTCATCTGCATGATTATCATCCAACAAGTTCTCAGCAGCACTTCTAGCAGCAACAACTCCTTGTAATAGTACATTCTCCACATTTTTCAGAAGTACAGCTAAATTTTCTTTCTTCCCAACCTCATCATCAAACACCTGAGACCCTTTCAGCTCGGCTTTACCCCCCAACACTTGCATATTTCCACAACTTGACAAAGAAGTCCCCCCTTTATCCAAAGCTTCCATCTTCCCCTTAACCCCACCCATCACAAGACTCAATCCTCCCCCCTCCCCTTTCGACTCGCAAAAATCATCACTCAAACTATCCCCTAAACCCGATTCCCTAGATAATAATGACCGCGTAATCCCCTCAAACTTTCTAGGAACCCTCTCACCACCCAAACTAAAACCCTCCAAACTCTTGAATGACAAAAAATCAGAATCCAAAGAATCATGGTAAAACCCCATTGAACTACACACACTAGGAGTCCCCATAACCGAATTCGCGCTACAATATCGATCAAACTCTGATTCTCCACACGAAGAATACTGTGAAGAAACTGGAGATAACACATCCCCAATTTCCCCACCATAAGATTTCTGAAACCCAACATCCAACTGTTCTGGAGAGGTGACTTCCTCACTAATTAGCCCCCTCTCCATTAAATCTTCAAGTGAAATTCAACAAAATTCAACACAACATGTACATAATTCAGAAATTAAAGTTATACCCTGACTTCAACTAATCTGGGAATTGGTGATTTCTTATAGTATATCTACTTGTACAGTCTAATTTATGTATAGTTAAGCAAAATAATTGAAATCAGAAAGTGGGTTTGATTGTATTACCTGAAATATTGAGACAGAAAGATAACCTGGGGATGCAAATCGATAGATTTGACATTTGAAGGAGTGAGATAATGAAGGAAAACCGGAGGATGGTGCGAATGTATTTATTTGTTTAATGATTGATTTAATCTTGCTAATTTGGTATCATAGTTTATTGGTACATAGATAAGAAGGTTTGAACACTTGACTTTTTAGAAGAAAATTTATTGTATAATCATCTAGGCTAATTGTTAATTATGCTTTAACATTGCATCAATAAATAATATTATACTACAAAGTATTGAAGACACATACTACATATAAACTATTAGATGCTCTAATAAATTAGCAGTTGCACAATTATAAAAGTAGTAACCCAGGACAACGCCCAGGCTACTCACTAATTTACTTTATTTACAAGTAGCGATGACAATTGAGCCGGTTGAGACTGGGTTAGGGGAATTTGAAAGAGGATCAGCCTAGTTACTTAATGGGTTGCGTTGGGTTGTTCACGAGTCGGACACGGCTAACCTAATTTGGATTGAATCGTTGTTGAGAGGTAATGAAATCTAATTTTCTACGTTTTTGTAGGTGGTTAAATAAATAATGAAAGGAAAATGATAAATATAGCTCTAAAGGTTGTGTATAAGAAGGTAAAAAAGAAAATATTAAGGATAAATTAGCATTAATTGCACCGATCTGTGCGTGATTTTATCATGAATTCCCAACTTAATTCCATTTTAGGAAATATATTTAATGTTTATATATAGCCCTGGACTATATATATCATTACCCATAATGAAAAAACAGGTAGTTAAATTTGAGGGTGGTAAAATACAAATTTCCCTAGTGGATCGGAGTACATTATTTTGGGTTACATATTTTCAATTACTATATAGCCTACATGGCTACATCCTACATGTATGAGCAAATGAAATATCCAAGGCAATTATTCTCATTTACCAAAATATTTACAACTTCCAAAGAAAATATCTCAAAACATTTTCTTAATAATCATGTAACAATGATAGACGTAACAATAATATGAAATAGGAGGAGGATATTTATAGATGCACTTTGACTTTGACAGAATTTATAGACTCTACTTTAACTAATTCTTGTAATTTATATATTAGGAAGAAAAAACATACGTGGAATCTTGTTAGATTTCTCTCAATGTATGTTTTCAAGTTATCAACTTTTTTTATATATAATTTTATTAGAGATATTTAAAGATAAATTAATACATTGACAAACATGATAAAGAAACATGTCAACTAATTTATTAGAACAGGAGAATATATCTAGTATATACTAACAATACAATACTTTGCTTTTGAATGAGCTTTTTTTCAAGAGATCGAGAAATCCTACTTAATTACTAATAACAAATTGTTTATATATATTTAGCCTTTATTATTCCACTCAAAAAGAAGTGATAACCGGTATTAAAGACCAAAATTCCTTGGCATACTATGACACATAGAGTAAAGTCATTTGCTTACTACTCCAAGCAAAGTATCCATAAAATTCTATAGCCTCACTCCATATCATCTTCATGTAAGTAGCTATCTCCAAAATCTAGCATTTCCCACCCAACTCTCTCATACATACTAACCAACAACAATGCATCATATATTGTCCATACTCTTTGCACTATTATTAACAATCCCTTCATTTCCTTTGTGTTCTAGTTATAACCATAGTAACACATGTAGATCCTATTGTGGTAACATATCGATCGACTATCCATTTGGGCTCAAATACGGGTGTGGTCACCCTGGCTATCGCGATCTCCTATATTGCATCAATGATGTCCTCATGTTACATGTAGCTTCAGGGTCATATCGAGTTTTAGACATTGATTACACCTTCCAAGCCCTTACGTTGCATGATCCTCACTTGTCGACATGCAACTCGATCGTGCTTGGGTCGAAAGGAAACGGGTTCGTGGTTGAGTCGTGGCGAGCCCCGTTCTTGACTCCGGCACCGGATAATGCCTTTTTGTTGATCGGTTGCTCGGCTAAATCTCCACTCTTTCAAGGACTTCCATCTAAGCACTTGGCTTGTAGAAATGTTTCGGGTTTGGGCTGTGAAGACTATTATAAGTGTCCAGCTTGGGGATCTTTCGGCCCAAATAAAGTGGGCCTAGGCCTACCAGAATGTTGTGCTGTGGCCTATGGTGAACTTGGGCCGAATCAAGGTATAAATCTTACCAAATTAGATTGCCAAGGGTATAGTAGTGCTTATAGCTTGGCACCTTTAAGAATTGATGGGCCACACGAGTGGTCTTATGGCATACGTGTGAAGTATTCGGTCCAAGGACACGACGCGTTTTGCAAAACGTGTGAAGCTACTCGTGGCACGTGTGGGTATAGTGGTGATAACGGAAATGAAATTACAGAATTGTGCTTTTGTGGTAATCAGAATTCAACATCAAGTTGTGACTCTACTACATCAGGTGAGTTAAACAAATTTAAATTTTACAAATCAAATTTCTATAAAATACATAGTTACTCTTATTAGTTAACTCTATTTTTTCAATGTAAGTTAAAACGTACACCAGGTTACATCTAATTTTACATACAATTTGAGTAATTTAAGTTTAATATATAGTTGACAATTGTAGTTCAATTTTGACAATAACCAACTTATAATACAGTATTATTTTGCAGTTGAATCAATGATATCAAAAGCCAATACTTTGAAAGCCTTGTCATGGAATGCCATAGTGATAATAGGTGAGTTTCTTGCAATATTTTCCTCCACTTATTCATTATAGAAAATGTAAAGTACTTGTCCCTTTATACTGCTACTTAATAAAGAAAGTATATATGTAGTATTTTGAATTTTCCGCACGAGCAGGGTTTTCTAATACGTAGTATTATTTTTCTAATTTAAAAAAAAAAAAAAAAAAAAAAAAAAAAAAAAAAAAAAAAAAACTGTGAAAGTAGGGAGTATACTTTAACTAATGCAGCAATAAATCTCCAAAACTTATGCAGGTATTCTAATTTCTATGGATTTATGGAATAAAGGTTAAAACAATTATTGCAAATTGAAGTTGCCAGATTCTAGCTATACACATGATTCGATGAACGTGCTCATGTGCAATGCCCATAATACGTACGAGCTATTGAGAACATTGCAAATGGTTGTCTTTTGTAGGGTTTAGTGATAGATGTAGTAGCATTTTCATGCAACTTCTACAAAGTATTTCTCTTTATCTTTGTGATAATTTGTAAAACTACTTGTGTAATTTAATAATTTGTAAAGTCATGATTAATTTCTCAAATTTTTGTAATGTTCTTCACACTTAGTAGTAGATGTAGGTCGATTTGATGAGCATCTATTAGTTAGGTAAATATGTTAAATTGTCAATTATATATCAACAATATATTACAAATTTGTAGGGAGTATAATGCTAACAACACGGACAATGCACATGCTTAATAAATAGTACAAAGTACATATAAGTTGATCAACTATGCCTAAAAAATTTAGCAATTAACTTAGGGGTTGTTTGGTTCATTAGGGAAGTGTAAATTCCCATGAAAATTCAATTTGTGGAAAATAAATTCCATCATCAAAATCATGGGAATTCAACAAATTTGTTTGGTTAAGAATGGAGGAGGTAAATTCCCATAAATTTTCATTGCCCCCATTTTTACCTTTTTGTGTCAACCACACAAAAGGTTGAAAATGAAATTTATGGAATTTTTAAATGCCCACAAAATATTTAGCCAACCAAACAATACCTTAGTCAATAACCTTATGAAGTGCCAAAAAAAAAAAAAATCATTGTAGGCAATAATGATGATTGATAATGAAGTTTAGTGGGATTTTCCATAAAACTGTGTGGAACCTCGCACGTGAATACGTGATCGTAACCTCGCATGATTTTCCAAAAAAAAACATCGTGCCAAAAAACTTTGGGCTAAAATAAAATCCAAATCTGGACCCACCTTGGTGATTGTAAAGAGGCCCACTTAGCAGAAATGAAAGGGCCTCATTGTAAGAAAATCATACATGTGCAAATTTTACCCCCTTACGTCTAATTGTAGCAAATGAACCCCAAATTATTTAATATCGTGCAATAAACATCTATAAACTAAATTCATCACAGAATGCTAATTTTGTATTCGTAACACATCAAAAAATGCTAATTTTGTATTCGTAACAAACATTCATATAGTATTATGCTGCATTATACTTCATATTTCTTACTGTTTCAATTAAATTGTTGTAATCAAGCGAGATTAGTTAAGTATGATGGTCTTAATTTTTCAATGTTGTCATATTTCCGTGTCGATAATTTTTACTATTTAATATGTATGAAAATGTAATGATAATTTCAAAGTTTTTTGGCGTATATACTCCTATATCTATGATATTTATATATTTTAATGTGATTTTACTTAAATTTGATGTATAAGTTTTGATTGCACAATTATAAAAAAAAAATTAAAAAAATAAAGTTGTGGGACTAATTTGATACAAGTACTAATCGTGGGGTTTAATTTACACATGCACTCAAAGTGTTAACCAAATAGTAGTCCTTCATTCCTTCTTTTTTCTCAAAATGGACTTGAAACCTGGTTTTTTTAAGGTTTAAGTTCACCAATTTAGACTATAATTATTGAAAGAAAATTTAGACTACAATTATATTATACTTTTTCGACTTAGCTTAACTTATGTTGATTGGTATTTCAGATAAACTTATTTGAATTTATTTTTCTAGAACTTTTGAGTACATATAGAGACTTATTCACAAAATTTATGGGAGGTGTTAGCCATTTTTTGACTTAATTAATTAGGTAAAATGAGTTAAGATGATCATCCTCTAAGTGAGTGTTTCTTTTTTTCCTACTATGTAATTTATTTATTTACTTACTTGTGAATAATTCCTACTTTGTAAATCATGGTATTATGTTTTGAAATATTTTATTTTTTCTTTTACAAAAATAACAATCATACATAGTCAAAAATTTGTATAATTTCAAATAAATTTCCAAATAATAAAGTGAAGTCAAAAAATTAATTACAAAATCATTATCAAAAATTTAGTATTTTCTTAAAACCTAATTCGTGTTTATTATCTTATAATATCTTATAAAAAGTCAACATCACGAAATTAATTATTTTATAATAGTTATTTGTGCACCACCCATAAGACAAATAGAAGTATGAACTAATGAACTATTCTTGTCCAATTCCTTTTTTTTTTTTTGTTTAAAAAAACCTTTAAAATATTACCAAAAATCTATGTTCATATTTTTGCAATCTTCCATATAAATAATTTTCATTTTCTTTCTCTTTCTCTTTCTTTATCAAAATTTCATACCAAAAATACATTTACAGAAGAAGACGAAGACATCACAAATGGCGTTATTTCTCTGTCAAACTTCTCCAATTCCAATTTCTCTCTCCTCAAATTTGTCTGCAAAATCAGCAACATTGACATCAAAACCTCGATTTCTCTGTCCTAAATACGCCGAAACGACGCCGTCTGCTTCGTTCAGTCGACCCCTTTTTGCTGTTCAATCGATCAACCAAAAATCCCAACCTTTTTCTTCCTTCAGTGAGGTTTGATCAGTTGCTCCATTTTATATTGTTCTGCATTTCGAAATTAATGATTTATTTACAAAAAAATAAAAAATAAATAATTTTGATGATGAATTAATGAATTTTGCAGGTAATTGAGGGTTTGATTAATCGGACTGATTTGACGGATTTAGAGGCTGAATCGTCGTTAAATTTCTTGCTGAATGATCCAAATGAATCTCTAATTAGCGCTTTTCTTGTATTGTTGAGAGCTAAAGGCGAAACCTTTGAAGAAGTAAGCACAACCCTTTTCATTTTATCCTTTGTAATATTAAATTTATTACAGTAATTAATTGATGGGTGTTAATTTTAAGATTAGGTTAACAATAGAGTAATAAGATTAATTACAAGCATTAGATATCTTCCCTCATTTGGCTGTGTATATTTATTTTTCCAACAATACAATACCCATTTAATTCGAAAGGATAGTAAAATGACAACTTAAAAAGTTATGGGTTTTGGGAATTTCAACAATTTGGTTGAAATTCCAGATTTTCAGTTGGACTTTTGACTTCAAAAATAAATGTTGATGTTTCTGAATTTTGGAGATTGATGAAAGTATGTATACCTGTTTTTGATCTGGGACTACTTAATGTGAAATTGCAGATAGTTGGATTGGCAAATGCAATGATGAAACACTGTAAGAGTGTGGAGGATTTGGGGGATGTGGTTGATATTGTTGGTACCGGTGGTGATGGTGCCAACACTGTGAATATCTCCACCGGTTCCTCTGTATTGGCCGCCGCTTGTGGTGCGAAAGTAGCCAAGGTTTAATCTCACTTCTTGCCTCTCAAATCAAGATTTATGTAAATTTTGATGTGTTTTGGAATGAAGAGGTTTAGCTTAAATGATAAAATATTGGTACTAATTGAGAGTGAAGTGGTAAATAGTTTATAGTTTATGGATATGCTTCTTTTGAAAATGATGGTTGTGTTTTATGGGGTTTTGTTGCAGCAAGGGAACAGATCAAGCTCTTCAGCTTGTGGGAGTGCAGATGTTTTGGAGGAATTGGGGGTTGCCATTGACTTGGAACCTGAGGTTTATTCTTGATATATATATATATACACTAAGTTGTGGGTTGAAGATTTATCTTTTTGCTATGTGTTTACTCTTTATTGGACCTTCATAAATGCCGTCATGAAATCATTTATGAGCTTTTAGGTTGGTTTTAGTTTTGGTTTGCTGGTACTTTTTAAGCATTATCATTGGACTATAAAAGCCACATGGTTGGCTGTAAATTTTTCCTACCTTGGTTTACTTCTTCTTTAATGCTGCTGGCCTGTTGGATAAGTGGATTTTAAGATGTACTGTATGGGATTAAAACTATCTGACCTGCATTTTGTTAGCTTGAATTACTGACTCAACTATATCCATCTCCGATTGTGTGGCAAAATTCTGATTTATGTTAATCCTTATGTTATTTACGGTTTAGCTAAGCTGTTGATTTTCATCTTTACTTTGTTATTAGGGAATAAGAAGATGTTTAGCTGAAGCTAGAATTGGTTTTATGATGTCGCCAACTTACCATCCTGCCATGAAGGTTGTTAGACCTATTAGGAAGAAGCTAAAAGTTAAAACAGTGTTCAACATCCTAGGTCCAATGTTAAATCCAGCCCGAGTACCTTTTGCCGTCGTTGGTGTTTATTCTGAAGATATTGTAAGTTTACTTCCTTTTTGAAAAATCAAATTTGTTTTGTTTTGTTAATAGGATTATTCATTATTGTTTCTTCTGCCTTTTAGGTAGGCAAAATGGCCCAGGCTCTTCAACGATTTGGCATGAAGAGGGCATTGGTTGTACATTCAGAAGGACTAGATGAAATGAGCCCTATGGGTAATGCTTTTGATTTCATCTTTATAGAAATCTTTGTACAAGGATTGTTATTGTTGATTTTTGTCTATGTGAACCTTGTAAATTCAACTAATTGTGATGGGCGGAAATTGCAGGCCCAGGAGTGATTCTTGATGTGACTCCCGATAAAATAGAGAAGTTCTCTTTTGATCCGTGTAAGAAATCCGCTAAAATATTTTTCTCTTTATTCTCATCTATTTTTTTATTTAAGTTGGCTTGGGATTTAAAACCACATCTCATAAATGTGCCATATGTAAAATGACAGTGGAATTTGGCATTCCTCGTTGCACTGTGAAAGATCTGCGTGGAGGAGGACCAGAGTACAATGCAGAGGTATTGAAGCGTGTTTTAGGAGGGGAGACGGGATCTATAGCAGATGCATTTGTGAGTTCCAGCCTTTTATCTCTTGTGAAATTTTTGTATGCTCTTATGTTTGGTTGGCTTTATATTAGAGGCCTTTGCTGCTTCCACGCTAAGATAGGACGGAATTTTGATGAATCCTGGACTTAATTATTGGATTCATAGTAGTTTTTTCAGGTTTTTAAAAGAAACAATTAATTTTTGAATAAGTGCTGCAAAAATACTGCCTAGCTAGGCGCATGTTGTTGTTTTGTCTCCCTGCGTCGTCTTTCTATCCCAAGTACAAGCATATTTATTCTGCTCCCTTCCTAAAATTGATGTTGAATTGTTTCTTCCGTCACAAAATCAGGTCTTAAATGCTGCTGCTGCTCTCTTGGTCTGTGGACAAGTTAGTACCCTCGGTGATGGAGTAGCCCTTGCTCGAGAAACGCAACAATCTGGGAAAGCCCTAAAGACATTGCAGTCATGGATAGATGTATCAAATGTAAGGATTTGCGGATAGTTGTTATGTAGTGATTCTGGAACCTTTTGTTTAAAGTTCATCTATTTCAATTTTTTTTTCTTTTGGCAGAATATTTCATTTTGCTAAAAAATTTGTTGTTTGTGTTGCAGAAAGTGAAAGAAGCTACTGCAATTGTGGCTTAATTCTCCACCAGGCGCCCAAATCTCCTTGATTGAGGAAGCATGTTGTAGATTATCTATATAGAGCTGTGTCGTGTCTATATTTTGCTCGAGTATGATCTGCATCTCTCTTTATACCCAAAGTTACCTGGAAAATCACTCGCCTTTTTTGTTTCCTTTTTGCTAGTCCTTTGATAAATTGCTTGTTGCTTGTTGCTTGGACTCTTCCTTTAGTTTATCAGTAGGAAACTCATACCATGATACCAATGTTGATTAAGTGTACAGTCCTGTATTTACAGAGATTCTCATTTTTGCAACAATAAGAAGTCTCGAGTGAACCATTTTGATACATTTGAAGTTATTTTATTGATGAATTTGCACGATTACAAGATCCTTAAACAAAAATATCACCTTCAGATGTGTGGACAAAAATGTAAAGTACATTGCAACATATTAATTCCTACTTATTTCTCAGGTTTAATATACTCGAGCTTGGCTAAGTTGAGGTAATTACAAATTGAGGCTGAGCGTGAAAGTCCCAAGCAAGCTCAGAGGCTTGGCTCATAATTACCCCTACTTAGTCCGAGCAGATAGAGTTGGGTAGTTATATTGATTCTAAGTTTGAACTAGCTTATTTAGACTTCAAGTAAACTCATTCACATTATTCAGCTTTAAAAGCTCAGTAAAAAAGCAAAGAACCATACATGTTACGCCAAATCAAACCATTTATTCTGAATATAGAACTCTGACGAAACTTGTTCATACTTGTACAAGTTACAAGCCCAACAACTCTGATGTCACTGGAGAACATTTTAAACAGAAATTTCAGACTGTTTTACCACACCCTTACATAGATTACAAAGCTTAAAATACAGCATATTTGTCTTCCGATTCTTCCGTGGATCTTTTACTGTACAAAATGCTTAAGCAGTTTCCTCTGCAGCAATTGCCTTAGCACTGACAAGCAAGGGCACAAGCTGACTTTTTGAGTGTTTTTCCATCACAGCTGCAATGGAAGGAATTTGTTGCAATTAAGGGACTGAAATGAGACTAGAACTGGAGCGGAAAAAATAATTGAAGAGAAATAGGTGTATACCATCACAGCCACCTATGTGCTCTCTTCCTATGAAGACATTTGGTACAGTTCTCTGTCCAGTCCACTCCTGAAGTGCTGCTTGAATAGCATTTCCATCCGCTGCAAAGCAACAACAAATCATTTCGTACATTGGATCATTACCGTTACAGAATGAATTGAACTACAAGAAGCAAGCTTGTCAACTCCTTGTGACACAGAAGGAGCTCTATCTTCAATAAGTTTTAGCATTTAATTTCATACCCATCATTTATTAAAAAGTTTTAAGACAAGGGCTTATAAATTCACCCGAGTTTAGATCAAGGTTTTCCAGTCGAAAAATTAAGTTGGGAAAAATTAAGTTTAGATTAAGCCCTGAAATAGACGTTTTTACATCCTCATAACATTCTAATGCAACTAAATCACTACTTCTCAAGATTAAAATTCTTCGTCAAGGTTCAACATCGTGATTAACAGTAGAATGAAACAGCATATGCAACCATCAAAATAATTAGTTGTGATCAGTATAAGTACTCACATTCCTGGTCCAATTCCATGACCTGGAAAGATGCACCGAGCTGTTTGAGCAGCTCCTTGACCCTATTGCAGAATCCACAGGTTGTTTTACTGCAAATCCAGAAGAGCAAATACAATTATTTGATTAACTAAGCTTCTATCATAGTATCATTACCAGTAAAGTACAATAGAATTGCACACCAAGATAATTGAAACTAAGTCATAAAATACCTCTTTTTTTCTTTACCCACTCTATTTTGAGGTTTTTTTTTTTCTACTTTCTACAGATAATTATTGTTTTTGGCAAGCCTTATTTATCATTTAACCCGTCTTACGTCACACTATAAACACTAAAACATCTACCAACTTGCCTAGACACAAGAACATAATAAGTGGGTCGGAAAAAAAACCCGAAGTGTCAAATGTGGTTTAGGCAAAGTTTTGCACAGAAGATAAGGAATGGGAAAGAAGATAGATTCCTTTTGATTGATAAAGCAAATATAAATAAAAAAAGAATCTGTAAACACAAAGTCACAACACCTTAAAATAAAGCTACCCCTTTTTGTATTAGTGTATATGTGAAGATATTTAGGAAGTCCTTATTGAAAATAAATCAAATGGTTAGTTGGTACCCACATCTTGTATCAAGGAATATGTTCTTCTATAAGATATTTTGTGATAACTTTTTGCTTCAAAGTTTGTTTGACAGGATAGATGATAAGCTCATCTTTGAAATGTACAAAAATAATCCAACAGTAAGGCTATAATGGAGTGGTGTAACTTTCTATTATCAATCCATTCAATTATGTATCGTGAGAAGCTCCAAATGACCAACTTAACAAGAAGCAAATAAACTGTATAAGGACTATGATAAAGGACTTTACTTTTAAGCAGATTGTTGCTGACAAAGCAAAATGAAACTTCCGTCTTGTATTCTCCCTAAGAACTTGCATTCAACTCCCTAATATACCCTACTTAGGCAAATTCTTGGATGCATTCTTGGATGCTACGTACCTTCATCTTCCTTCTTACTGCAATTTTCTTCTTTCCTTTTTCTTAGTTTTTTCTTTCCTTTTTTATGATTCTTTCTTCTCTTTCATTTTCTCTCTCCTCTTTCTTCTGATCTTTTTCATTTTCTCTCTCCTCTATTCGACCTTTTCTCTTTCCTTTGTTTTTTACATCATTTTGGATATGGTTATTATTCTTGAAGAGATCATTAATGCAGTTTAGTTTTTGTGTTGTTAATTATTAATTAGTTTTAATTACGTTAGATTTTAACTAAAATTATAATTGATTTTGTGATTTTTTACTTAATGAATTTCAATTGATTTTTTTGATAAATTTGATGAATTAGACTATCTCAATTGAATTTTTGAATTTGTTATAAATATTGATCTAATTGATGAGTTACTGATATTAGTGATGAATTTGATTAATTTCGATTGACTTTTTGAATTTGTGATGAATTATTGAATTGCTGCATTTGTTATGAACTTGTTTGTTATTATGATTTTTATTTTATTTTTTGAGTTGCTGTTATTTGTTTTTTGGGAAAAAAAAATGAACACGTAGTACTGTAAAATTGAACATTTATTACATAAAAAATAAACATATTTTAACAATTTATTTTATCTTTATTTTCCGTTAATAAATGTATACAATGAATTTGAACCTATATGGAATATATGAAAAACATGTTCATTTTTAATATTCTGAATGTTCTTAATGTTTTTTGACGTGTTTATTTTTTTATACTAAATATTCATTTTATTTAATGTGTTCATATATTTTAATATACTGATTGTATGATAAATGTTCATTTTTAATATACTAAATATTCATAATATATTTTGACGTGCCCATTTTTTATTACTAAATGTTTATTTTTTTGTCACGTGTTCATAATTATTTTTAGGAAATTTTGACTTTTGCTACCACAAAAAACCTTGAGTTTCATTTTTGCTACCCCTTAAATTTTTTTTTTTTTTATTTTACTACCACCTAAAAACACCTTTGTCAAAATTTGCTACCACTTAACAGAATCCGTTAAGATTCCGTTAAGTTTATTCAAGATTCCGTTAAGTTTATTCAAAAAAAAAAAAAATTAAAATGTATAAGAAAAAAAAAAAAAAACCCAACCACCCTTAATTTCCCCCCATCCCGTCAGCCACCTCCCCCCCTCCCCCCTACCGGCGGCCAAACTAAGGCCAACGCCGGCGACCCCACCCCAATCCCTTTCCCCCACCAACCCCGGCGACCCCCACCTACGCAGCCACCCCCCTCGCTTTCCCCCCTCTTGCTGCCACCGGAAACCACCCCCCTCGCCATTCGCCCCACCGGAATCGGCCCCCTCCCCATTCCCCCACCGAAATCGACCCCCCCCTTCCCTTCCCCTACCCTTTTCGGCCACCCTAACCCTAAACCTTTTCGATCTCCGGCGACCCCCTCGAAACCCCAACTACCCCACCCTCGAAACTTCCTGTGTGCGATGAAGACGACAGGGGAAGGGGAGATACAGGACAGGTGGCTAGGGGGTGGAGGGGGAGTGGCAGGGGAAGGGGATTGGTGGCTGGGGAAGGAGGAGAGAGAGGTAGGGGAAGGGGATTGGTGGCTGGGGAAGGAGGAGAGAGAGGGGCAGGGTTGAAGTGGGGCCCATAAACGGCACAACTAACAGCTTCCGTCAACTGGTAGCGAATTTTGACAAAGGTGTTTTTAGGTAGTAGTAAAAAAAAATATTTAAGGGGTAGCAAAAATGAAACTCAAGGTTTTTTGTGGTAGCAAAAGTCAAAATTTCCTTATTTTTATTAAATGTTCAATTATAAGGCCGTGGTCCAGTAATTTTATGATTATATGATAATCATGTTCATATTTAATGTACTAAATGATCATTGGTTTTAACATGTTTACTTTTTAGTACCAAATGTTCATATGTGTTCATTTTATATTACTGAATGTTCATTTTTTAATTTGCTCATTTTTTTTTTTTACATGTTCATAATCATCACAACATATGTTCATTATAAACTAGTTGAATTATAGTGTTGAATATCTGAACAATTTATATATTTATTATGAACATATATGTTTATTTAATACGAACACGTGTTGTTGATTATGAACACATATGACATATAGAGTGTAATATATGATGATCCGTTTTGTGTTTTTTTTTTTTTTTGGAGTGATATCACATAAATTTACCTTTTTTGGGGGGAGAATCCGTTTTATTTGTTCTCGAATATCCGTGGTTATTTTTTGTTCAGTTTTTTAGTGAAATAAAATCATATACAGAAGAGAGAATGAACTTTGTTTGATTGTTAGAGAGAAAAAATCAAAAAGAGGAGAAATAAATTTAAGTTTAAAGTGACATTTTTTTTTTTAATACTCATATTTTAAAAATATATGGTGGTTGAAAGTGACGGTTTTTCTATAAAATGTGTCAAGGTGGGCTTTGTTTTTGTTTGAGGCTTGTTTTAATGGAGCGCATTTACAATTGGGCTTCTTTAATGGGTTAGTGTTGTAGCTATTGTAGCTGCACAAGGGTGTAGCTTAGACCAATTACCCTACTTAATCACCAATGTGAGTTTAATTGGGGCACGACAGGGAAGTTTTTTTCATTAAAGCCTAAACGCCCTTGTTGACACCAGTCAAAACTCTTGGGAATTAATTGGTGGGAATACATGAAAATATGTCAATACTTTATTTGGATGGTAGATGGAAATTATGGATAGTGAATAAATAACAATTTTACAAAAATACCCTTACTAACATTTCTTTTTCATTCTTTTCATTAACGACAAAAATATCATTTCATACTTATTTTCATTCCCATCTATTTTAATACCTACCCTCTCTAGGTAATAAAATGGTGGGAATTCACCCCCAAATATACACATTTCTAAACCTCTTTTTAATCTCATTCCCATCAAACAAACAAGGCTTTTTTCTTCAATTGGGATTAAAACTCCCAATCCCACTCTCAATTCTCACATACCAAACACCCCCTAAACAGACTCACGAGTCAAGACTATGGTAGGTTCAAATACAACAGTGAGGCGATAATTAGGTATGTCAGTTGGGGCGGGGATGGGGATAAAAACCATACCCGCCATGGTGATGAGGCGGGGGTGGATTTTAGGTTGTACCCGCCCCACTTCGTACCCGCCCCATCCCCACCCGCCCCACTTCGTAACTGTCCCATCCTCACATCTATATATTTTTAAAAATAAAATTATATACTTTAATACTATTTTATAAAAAAAATAATGTAAAATAAAATAGTAAATATACTACTTTGTAATATACTTATATTGTAAACAAAAAAAAAAGTGTAATATTAACAATAATTTTTTTCTTTTTGCAATCTTTATTTATTATGAAGGATTGTGTATTTGGAAGGCGGAGATTAGGCGGGTCTTAGAAAGGGGTGGATATCCAAGTGAGGGGGTGGGGCGGAGACAGTTTTAGAGTTGTACCCGCCGAGACGAGGATGGAGATGAATTTTAGACCCGCCGTGGGGATGGGATGGGTATGAAAATTTTAGGCGGGGATGGGAATAGAAAGGTCAACATTCGCCCCATCCCGTCCCATTGACATCACCAGCGATAATGGAGTAGCGTCTAATAAGTTGCAAGTGCTAATAACAAAAGGGTTTTTTTATCTATTTATTTTGGTCCAGCATAACTTTTAACGTCTCACAACAAGTTTAAGTTATTACTTCCTTCGTTTCTCAATACATGTAACCAATTGACTTGATTGTATTAAGAAACGGAAGAAATAAAGTGTTCTTGGGCAAGTCTAGCGAAGAACTTGATCTTACCTAACAATTTGCCGATAAAGGGACCTTATAACAATAAGTAGAATTGCAATCAATTAAATAAAAAATGAAAGTTCTCAAAACTGAAATTTCACGAGAAGTTGACCAAAAAAATTGATCTCATAAAAATTAATCAAAAACATAACCAATTGCGAAAAATTGAGCAAAAAAAACCTGAAGATGATGACAGGGGTGGAAGCAACAAGCTGTTTGACCTTGTCCAACGCCATATCAGTGTCAGCTTTGCTGCTGCTGGTATTGTTGTTGATTAAACTGAGTATTGACCCCATTTTTATTTTTTACAAATTTATGAAAAAGAGGAGAGAGAAAGAAGTGCTAAGGTTCAACAAGTGTTGCTGATTTGCTTCTACCGGCCTAGCGCGTGTTTTCTTTAGTTAGTAAGCGGCAAAAAGGAACCTTTTTTTTGGGGAGGCGGGGGTGTTAAAAGTGATTCCTCTCATATTTCAATTTACTTGCAAATACTTCAATACGAGAAAATACACTAGATTTGAATTAAAATACGACTTCCTATTTGAATTGATCGTAACACTAGATTTGGTCTATAGTTCAAGAAAAAAACATAGGGGTGTGGAGCTTGAGGACCAAAGTCGGATTTGAAATATCTAGTACAATTGGTGAAATTGTGGGGTGTATGGTATATTCGTAATGTGTCAAAAATTGACCCGATCAACCTGATGCGATCTAACTCGAAAAAATCTAATTCAGATTTCGACTCTTATAGACACAATAATTTAACATGATTGAACTTTGAAATAGACCAGGATCCAATCTCACTAAACCTACCTCAAGTACCTGAATTGAGCACTCACCAAATAAAAAAATTTATATTACAATTTAGAAAAGGATGGAAATAAAATATGTTGTAGTTAATTTGAAATAGAGTGAAAAATTATAAATATTTAATTTAATGATAGTTTAAGATTGATCTAAAAAGTGTTCTCATTTAATTATACTTCTTTCATTTCTTTTAAGTTGCATCAAAGTTATAAATTAATTGCATCATTTTCATTTTTAGTTAATAAACTCTTTCTATCTCTCTCCTATCACATAGGTCCATTTTTTTTTTTGTTCTCTCTCATCTCTAAAAATTGCCTAGGGTTCAGTAATTTACAAAGTGATACAACTAAAAAAAATGGATCAAACATATTTAATTACAAATTAACCTAGTCAAAGGAAAGTATGTTGATGCAGCCAAAATAAGATAAATTTGGCTTAGGTAAGGAATATCAATGAAGCACAATTTCAACAAGACACATAGTGAGTCTGTGAAAGGCTCGGTCATGAACCGGACCTAACTAGACCAAAGGCTCATGGTCAACCAATACGCCAGCTTATACCTTTTTTTATCTAAAAATGTATAACTAGTAATTGGTGGGGTGCGCCAGGCCCGTGCAGTAGTGCAACGCATGGGCGACGCTTGAAGACCCCAGTAGCAAGCTACTGTGGTGGGACTTCCCTCTTAAAAAATAAATTTAATATCGTTGTGGGCCATTGGCCCACGTATCAGATATTAAACTGATAAGAACAGATACTACACTTGATCTTAGCCAAAAGGCCGAGAAAGGTATGAAGTTTCAAAATTCTTACCCTTCATTTTTATATTCTTTTTCTTCTTGTTTCTCTTCTCATTTTCCGATGTGGGATTATTACCTTTTCCACAACTCTAAACTAGAGCCAGTTAATGGTTTTATCCTGATTATTGTCACTTTAATCGCAATTCTGAAGTTTGTTTCCACTGTCATATTAACCCCCGATTTCAAGATATGAGAGTTTTCTTTATGCTGATTGGGTGCCAAGAGTTGAGGACGCATACTATATCAGACTTAGTGTAGCTCTTCGAATGGCCGAGCCAAGACCAATGAGGCATATTGAAGATGTCCAAATGTGTTTGTTCAAAGAATTAGATCAGGAGTGTTTTTGTTTTCAGAATCAAATCAAATGTGCATATACAACATATTACATATTTACAAATCAAATCAGAATAGAGCATAACTTGAAATTGCCTATAAAAATAGATGGCAGAAAAATATTCACAGCTGGAGTAAAATCTTCACCTCTCATTTCTCAAAAACATCACCATCAGTAAAGAGTGTCAAGGGGATACAATTATCAAAAAAATTCAGTTCCATGCCTCATGCTTGACAAACTTTATAAACCCTCTACATACTAACTGTGTTGCCCAACATTCATAAACATCCACTTTAGGGTAACAATGACAGTATATTGAAAAGAAAATATACATTAAATTCTTACTTAGATGCAAAAATGGCTTCCAAATCTTTGTACAAACTCTTTGGCCTAGACTTAAACTCAGCCGATGGAGTCTTTGATGATGAACTTCCGCTCTTCCCACCCCAAAACCCACTCCATTTGGAATTACTGCTTGAAGGATCATTTCCATTATTCCAACCCCCTTCTTTAAAACTGGCCTTAGCCATTTCTCTCAGCTGTTTCAACCACGGCTTATCAGTTGTGCTTGAGCTCCTACTCCTCGAGCTCCTGTTACTTCCAGCTCCTGTTGAATTCAGCCTACTGATTTCTCTGTTATCTCGCTCTACTTTATCCTCTGGAGGCCACTTGTCAATGTTATTTATCAGTTTTTCAGGAAGAAAGAGCAGAAAGAACCCAACGAAAGCAGTTCTTAAGCCCACTAGGAACGATCTCTTTGAAGTGTCAAGCTTTCGTATTTGCTTATATAAAGCATACCACTCGTTCATCATCAAAGCAAGGAAGCCGAATAAAAAGAGAGAAAGCATGAATATGCCAATTCCTCTCTCAGCTTCGGTAGAGAAATCCCGGTCCACTAGAGCCAAGCAAGCTGCAAACATGCCCACTTCACAAGCAATAGATATGATTTCAACTAGTTGCACCTTTTTCTTGATGTAAGGCTTCTTAAGAACTAGGAAGAAAAGCTGGAAAGACGTAATGCATAGCAAGATAGTAGCAGGAGCCTTAGAGGATGATTTTTCTGAATATAAACCAGCTAAAACTCCTAGCAGGAACCGCCTAATGGATTCAAGGAAGGTGTAGTAAATTCTCAGGATGCCAAACACTTTTTGAATGAAAGGTGCCTCGGCATCTTCAGTCTCGTCTTCAGAGGCAATAATTTGGTCCACAGGCATGTGACTTCCACCAGTGATCATTGAGAGCATGTACTTCGGTGGGCCTCGAAGATCTTCAAATAAAGGACCATACTTGACCAAGTATATGGAATTTTCTGGAGTTTTCCACGTCCATTGGCCCCTTTTACCTGGACCTAGAGTAACTCGGACAAGTTCTTGATACCAATGATATTTTCGGCCTACTTGATGAACTTCCTTGTACTGAAGTAACCAACCCAATGTGATCCCATATGAGAGGAAGACAAACAAGGCTAATTGGAAAGACGACGTAAGAATTAGTAGCAGAACACCAATTATGGTCCCTGAAATTGTTTTCCCTGTAATCATGAATGTAACAAGGGTTAAAAATAAAAAAAAGAGTTTAAAACCAAAATGAAAACAGAAAGTTCAAGAAAACAAACACTTAAAAAGTCACCTTTGATTAAGGCAGCTGAAGCGTAACAGATGCAAGGTACAGCTAGAATTACAAGGAATATCTCAAATCGCGGTAAAACAAGAGCACCATAAGTCTTCATTCTTGAGTAATTTCTTCGGAGTTTTATTACTAAGAGAAGGAAAAAATGGAGTAAAATCAAGCTGCCACCGATTACAGCTAACCAGAACATGGTCCTCTCAAAATCCTTCCATCTAAACCATAAACATCAAAAAAAAAAAAAAAAGGTTACAAATGTGTTTTATCTCTACAATAAGAGAAATCAAAGACAGTACAAGGCAGAAAATTTCTCTGATATCCTTTACCCTTAAAACATAAAGGGTTACCTGGATAAACTGTCAGAGCGTGTTATGTATTCTGCTTCTGGGATAATATTTTGGCTCTGGAAGCATAGAAAGGCTACATGTTCAGGAAAAAAGGAGAACGAGGAAAGAACAAGGTTAGAGGAAACAAAATACGTTTACTGACCTCAAAGAACGACCTGTACTCCATTGCAGTCAGTGGAGCACCATAAATTACTCCAGCTTTATTAAGGCTACCTTTCTCAGATTGAACTGTTTGGGCAATGCTGCTAAGTCCATTTTTAAATAAATGTGAACTTACAGAGGTGTTTGGAGTGAAAAACATGGGCTGAGAATGGTCGCTACCCCATGGAAGACAAAGGTAGGGAACACTCCACTGTATGCCTCGAGTGAATTCATAATACTCCACAGGCAGAGTGACCGCTAGCCACCTTGAAAAAGCAAATACTTGAATGTAACAAGCTATTCTCTGCATCATAGAAAGAGGTACGATTTTTAGTATTGGCAGCAGAAAAATTCTTTCATCCAGGTTTAATTTCTTTGGGATCTTAAGACTGTGGCAGCAATAAATGCCATTTTAACTACAGAGGGATATTAAATTAAGTATCAAAGTTTTAAATATGTTCTCATAGCAGCATAAAAACTTGCAAAGAGGTCAGTTTCTCATACAAAGATATTCTTAGTAGGGTCAGAAGTCAGTGAGGTTGATGATCTTGGAAATGCCTCAGCAGACTGTAGGCTTGCTGTGGATATAGTGAGTAGACCAGCCACCAAACATGTTGCCACAAACAGTGCTGTAACGATTATGCAAAAGACGGTTGATATCATAGGCAAAGAATCTGCAAAAGATATTTGACATAATCATCATAATCTTTAGAGACATTAGAATTATCATGGAAAAGAAGAATAAGAAAACCATAACCAAAAAAAAAAAAAAAAAAAAAAAGCCATTATAATACAACAATAAAAAAAAAGTTAAGTAAATATCCTTACAGTGCCTCACTTGTAAGACATTAGAAGCCAAATTTAAATTCCCTGCAACATCTGCAGTCATATTTTCAGGAATGCTGACAGACATGATGCCCTCATAGGCTTGTAAAAATGCAACGTACAAATTCCGAGTCAGCTCTTCGAAACTGTGGATTGGAAATAATTAAGATGAAGTTGCAGGAAATGAAGATACAAAGATTTCTAAGATAATTGATATACTTGCCTCTCTAGGTGACCTCCGGAAACAGAAATGTGGCTAGAATTGAAATTGAACACTGGCTTCAGGAACTTAATTGACACTGTAATACTACTATCTTTTGTTTTCATTTTAGAGGTTGTGCTCAACCTCACAGCTGGCCTCTTTGAGTCTGAAAATTGGTATACAACATTCTTTCAGGAAAAATAACAGACATGAAATGTTCTATTCTCTCCACACAAAATAACTGTCAACTTGTCTTCCCACCAAATTATCTCAAGTGTCAAAATTAATTGAATATAGTAAAATACTTCTTCTACCCCATTTTTAACTTCATGCTTTCCTTCTTGGGATGTCCCAATAGAAAGCTTTCAAAATTTTACAGTTTTCTTACTTTTCATACC